CTCAGGAGTATAACCAAACGCATGTATATACAAGCTCTGCGATTTAAAAAATTTCTTCTTCTCGTGCAACGTGTAAAACTAGATTTCTTTTAAATGCGACAGAGTAATCCCTTCCAAATCCGGACAATCGAAGTGGGTGATGATTTCGCGAGGCTTCACCTGGGCTTGGAAACTTCTACTTGCACAAGGTAAGACTTTCTTGCAGAATTTGAACGTCGATTGCTCTTTTTGAATTCTCCTACAGCAGTTATTTTTGGTGCGATAATGCAAGCACCATAAATAGGAAAATTCACAATTGTCTTCAAGACAAAAAAAAAAGATTTATCGCGGGATAGACACAAAAATCTTATGTTTATTCGCCGTATTTGCAATTATTTGAAGTATATCTTCACGATTTATGCTCATCTTGAAATATATGATAATCCAAACATCAAACTCTATTTCGTTGGTGGGTATTGACCATTCTTTAAGAGATGGCCACTCGTGGTAAAATTTCCTTTGCAACCATTCACAAATATTACCCTATAGTCATCGATGAACGTCATCTATACCGGCACACTCTCCGGGTTTCAAGCGTTTTATTGTCAATTGTTGGCAGACGTGGCCAGTGGCCACCCATCGTTGCGCCACATATAATCTACCACTCCAACCTATAACCATCGGTACACCACCCATAATTTTTATTTGGGAAGGTTTCTATATCGCCTCCCACACACACATTTTTTCAAGGTCTCAATATCAATATATGTAAGAAGGTCTGACGACTTCTCGCAATCATAGCCCTCGTTAGCTTTATCACTATTGAAACAATCAACCAATCATTCGTTAATCAACTAAAATAATCATTGTACTAATCTACTATATGCATGTATTTTTAAAAATGATTTTCCGCCTTGATTAGATGTATCTGACACACCACGGGAAGGTGCCGGTCGAACGCTCTGTGTCTTCTGGCTATTCGTATGCTTCATGATCACTTCCATGTACCGAAGCAACATCACGGCCATCTTAATCAATGACAAGGTCCTGTCCATCTGTGTAAATACGACCATTATATCAACACGGAATTATTCATGTCATTAAACAATGTTTTGAAGTATTATTCTTATACAGATCCAGCTGCCGTTCACTTCAGTCGAGGAATTTGAAGCGGAAAATACATACAAGCTGACTTGGATTAACGGACAAGTATACAATACTTATTTTCAGGTAGAAAATTTATCTTAATAGATCAATGTGGATTTTATTGTTCAGTAAATATGCATCATACCATCTGGCCATTAATGACACTTTAGTTGAAACAACCTGATTCGAATGCTCAACAACGTATTTAAACAATTCCTGGCTAAAAAACTATTTCTCTGATTCTAGTGACCTAAATCACACATGAACATTTTCATTGATGAACATTGAATTGACGCGCCAAAAATGTTATCTGCTATCTCATGCGCTTTGATTCATTTGGCGCCAATCTTTTATTTTTCAGAATTATGCGCTCACACAACCGGACTATGTCTTGGGCAAAATGTGGAAAAAGCGAACCGACTACCAACCCGACGCCAAAAATGTCATCACCACGGCATTGAAGGACAAAGTCGCAGGTGCTTTACTCCTCAACATTCATTGCTCCACGAATTAGAGGCATACGACAATCTTATGGTAATAATAATAATAATAATAATAATGGCGCTGTCATTGCTGCAGATTAGACAAGAAGCCGATTCTGAACAACGCAGAATTTTCACCGAGTATGGCGGGTCTCGAACTCATTGCTTAAATATTCGCTGTGCTAAACAGACCTGTCACCTCGCCCATTTCGGCCAGAAATTTTCATAGTTCCGGTCAAATAGCTGGGGGCGCAGCCGTAGGCCACAAATTTTACTCCTAAATAAGCACTGGAGCCAACGCCTAGCTTCACCATGCATTAGCTTTACTCAGCCTCAGAACTAGAAGCCGCAGACTAAGCTTGAACTCCGTAATTCGGACAAACGACACACTGCCGAAAGATAATAGAGCCGTAGGTTTTCAGCCACTGCTTAAGCATGCTCGCTCATAAGCAAGCAGAGCAGCATCCTGCTGTACCTACTCCGGCCTAACCTCTTCTGGCCTAACCTATTCTCGCTGTCCCGGCTCACAACCTTCTTGCAGCCAATGGCTGGCTCTACCAGCACACTTGGACCGCCTTTCTAACTTCTTGCAGCCAGTGAGGTTAGGATAGGTCCGCCCAGGTTTGTTTTGGGTGAAGAAAGGTTACAGCTCGTATAAGTAAGGCCTGAAGAGGTTAGGCCAGATGCAGTATGGCCATGTTTACCTTTGGCAAGCTTATTTTGTGGCTGTGGACATCCGGCGCTTTGGCTTTGAGCACTTGACTTCATAGGCCGTTATGCACTCTAGCGTTCTTACCTATGGAAAAAAAATATGAACTAAGTATGGCAAAGCTGGCCTACGGCATGTGCCCCGAATAGCTTTCATAGCTGGTATCGAGCTTTAATTCTGGGGCTCTACCCAGAATTGTATTCTTTAATTACCCTTAATTCTTTACTTTACTCACTCGGTCACACTGCCGAATTATTGTAAAGTTTGGCATGATATTGTCATACTATTGTTTTGTCATCGATAAATAATACGATGACAAAAGTCATAATGCTTACAAAAGCCTTGCCTTAGATATCAGTTTATGTGCGATAAACGTTGCGCGTAAATTGGAGTGAATCTTTCATATATTTTGAAAGTTTATGCGTTAATTTGTACGGACGCTTTAGGAATTTGTCGCTGCAATATATCAGCAGGGCTATTAGAGCGCGTGTCCACATTTCCAATCATGTTCGGTTGTCACCGATACCTGAAATTTTATTCATTCTGGTATCTAATTGATTCCGATTGGAAAATTGAAACTAAAAAATGTTGAATCTATCAGACGAATATTTTTTGGAAAATATCAAATTGGAATTTCCTCAATGCTTAAAATAGGAAACACGATGAAGCTCTGTGCTGAACGAAATTTCTTTGTTAAATTGGGGCTTTGTTTAATGAGGGTTCAAACTTTTTATTTTCACATCACTCAAGTTTGAAAAATTACTTGGATAGTGAGTACAATTTAATGGAAATATCCTCTAACCTTTAGTATCTACTAACATTAGCAATGTTACCTGATTGCTCCAAGTAATTATCTTTATATTTAGTAAACTTCCCTGTGCATGTCACGTACAGTGATCGCTCCTGAAATGATTCATCTTGGATTAATGACGGGTGATTTTTCCGAGGTAAGATATACGATATTTTATGTTCTAGATGCACCTTAACGTCATTGCTTGATACACGTAAATTAAGACTATTGCAACGACCTACCACGAAGACAGCCATTAAATATCAAAATAATATACCTGCAATATTCATTAGAATTTTTCTTGTCATATCACAATCGATATAGTGAATGATGCACCCAACTGTTTGATCTACCTCATAAGATGCTAAAAAGGCTAATAGTATATATCAGCCTTTCACTGATATTATTGCTGAAACAGAAACCTAATTCAATGTAAACATTCAATTGGTTGCAGTTTGGTGAGTGTCGCCTAGCGCTGTGTGAAGCAAATCTTATACCTCCTGTCTACATGACTTATGGTTACCCAAAAAACTCTCCTCTTCAAGTCAGATTTGATATCATGTGAGTATTTTGTGTGGTGCATGTATATCATGAAATGTCTTGGAGCATATTACGCCAACGTACCAGAGATGTATGGTATAGAGGCGGAACGTAAACAGAGTTGCTGGTAGAGGCGGGGCGTAAACAGAGTTGCTGGTAGAGGCGGGACGTAAACAGAGTTGCTGGTAATTCATTTCCTATGTGTGTGTGGGGCGAGTTTGGCTATCGTTTAGCTGTTTGCCGTGCAGAACAAGAGGGACAAATCATTTAGAATAACTGTACATACATATAATATATATTTATTTGCATAAACACTCTGGGAAATGCAGGGCGCAAAAAATTTCCTTGACTCAAAGGATTAAACGCAACGACTTGTGAACACTGAAATACAATAAGACTTAACCAAATATTGGACATAATGATGCTTGGAAACAATTCCTTCAGGCTTCTGCGGGTGGTCCAGTCCGGCATAGCGAATCATTTGATATCGAGCAACTTGTGGAACTCGACATGGTGCATGAAACCTTCGAATAGCCTCAGCGAATCACGGCCACTAGTCGTCACAGACTTTCTTGGACTTTTTAGCATCTACGGAATAGGTAAAATTATAGCAAATAATTATTTTTTACTTCAACGTGTTAAGAAGACTTTCAGGTTAGTACGATAATGACTTTCAATAGTTTCAATCATGCCGCAAAATAAGTTATTTAAAAAACTTTTCCGTGAAATCAGAACCATTTTCTTAATGTAATCTTGGATTAAGGGCTGGAGAATTTTTTTCATTGCCTTCGCACGTGACTGAGTCTTTTTTTCCTCTCATTCCACCGGTTTGTCTAAATTTGAAACATCTGCTTGAGACCTGCATGAAAATTCGTCCAGATTGAAAATAATTTTATGTTAGCAGCGGTTAGTTTACGTCAAAGGATGTTCTTTGGTTATGTGTTTTTTCATTGCAAAGGTTTTAACTACATTGCAAATTAATCATATGTTTCACCTGCATACAATGTTTGAAATATACAGACTAAATTTCCCTCTTATACTCGCAAATAATAGCATCATAATATTTGTATTTTTGTTGGTTAAATCGAATTTGTTGGAGAATATTTCCTCCTTTATTCACACTACATGTACATGACACTCACCCTACTGATGAATTAATTCAAATTTTCACCGCTCAGGTATGGCATTCTCCGTTCTGGTGTTCATTATCGAAGTAGCAACGGGACGTAAGGCAAAAAGCAAAATAAATACATGAGAAGACTCAATTTCTTGACAGTTTACAAACCAAGACCTGGACTCTCTGTACACCGCACCTGGCTCGCTTGCATTATTTACCGCTAAGAGACGCAATGGGTTCTATAAACTGTTAGAATGTGTCAGTAGAATGAAAAATTTCTTTAATGATTACTCAGGATAAATAGATACACCTCTGAAATAAAGCATAAACAATATCAACAGCCGTTGAAACAATGGAAATATGTTAAACTCGTGTGTCATTGTTTCCAAAAAACTTCACCCCACTTGGATCTGAAATTTTATGAAAATAATTCATTAATATCTCCGATCCGATTCTCCGATTCGATTAATAAAACAATCTGTACCCATTAAAAAAATTAACGTCATGATTTGGAATCCACTGAGCTAGTGTACACAACACTGATACTTTTCTTGCATGAAGCTGTTTTATCAACAGTATTCGATACAACTTCCATGTGATGCTTGGACTATCCGCAAAATCGATTCAATACGGCAGTTCCCTATGAATAGAAACGTTGGAAGACTCGCGACATTAAAAAAGCGATAAAATTATTTCGATGGTCCATGAGAATATTTAAGGAAATCTTCATCGATATACATAAATAATATTGAAATTTATGCGAATTAAGTGATGGTATTCTTCCTAAATTTTTTATAAATAAGTAGAAGGAAAAACAGAATAATAAAATGCAAATATTAGTGCTGTTTCAACCACCTATTTGATGAAAGTGCTCATAGATTTCCATTGTCCACCGTTGATGAAATCCGTTATGATTCTCTTACATATTGTTTTAAAATATTCCGCATTTATAAAGTTTTGCTGTCGGGTTCCCTAAATATCTTGACTTTTTACGTTAACTTTTGTTTGCCACGCTTCCACTAAATAAAAATGATATGTGAAGTAGCGATCCTTAATAAATAATGGATCTCGTAATCACTGCTCATTAGCTACTGGAAGATGGTAACTTCTCACATAAACCATTTGTTGCCAATGAGTCATTCTAGTCTATTTCTTCAATTATTATTTTTTGGGCACAATTTGGTAGCTTAACTAATAACTATGCTCCGATATAGTTCAATTATCGCTAATACTTCTTGCTTATCCACCCTCTTGACCGTTAGAGTGACATACTAGACACAACTAGTTTGTGTGCCACACGTTTACCATAATGCCTAGTCACGTTTGTTATATATTTATTTGCTGTGGAACGGTTGCCACACATGCAGAAAATTATTTGTAAATCATTGCATTGTATTTACTTCTCAAGTTCGAGGACAGAATGGATACAAGTGATGAATGACTTGTCACAAGCCCTATACGTCTGAGGCAATATTTTGATTAATACATGTATATATCGTGACAATAAGGGAAACGGCCATATACGCTGTTTTGACTGTAAATTCTGTTTTATGTAGCAACCGACAAACTTAAAGGAATATTATTGTTAAGTAAATAATTATATTGAAGTCTTGAGGCGTGTAGCTCTGACCTCTCTTCAGACAATAATGGACAGCAACAGACTCGACTGCGTTCGAAACGAGCGCACGGCTCCCACGCCATGTTGTGTTGTTGTTGCAATTGCCCATCTTGGTAGTGGCGACTAGGGACTAGGGAGGGGGGGGTGATAGGTCAGTTTTTCCGGGCACTCGGTGCCACTGGTAGTTCTACGACCATCACTGGCTCGCTGACCCGCCAGAACCATTTGATTGCATTACACAACACCCTGGACAAGCCAGGTACTCATTTATCAACCAGAGTTGGATGAATGGCTGAGTTGACCATGAGCTGAGCTTCCCGGCAGAACTTGTCCTCAGTGGGACTCGAACCCGGACGCAGGGTGCGAGAGACTGAGTCTCTCACCACTGCACCACCACAGCTCCTACTCCTACGCCATCGTCGGTGTGTCGTGCCGCAAAGGTCTATCTTTGGATGGATCTTCTTTCAATAATACGCTGTTAACAAGTTTAAGTTCACCCAAATTACTTTGGGTGAACTTAACGATCTTTTCGACCGCACTAGTAAGATGTGGTTCAGTTTTGTTTATACGAGTAAAATTTATGGTTTCTATTAAAAGGCCGGTGACTTAATTGTTGTTGATTACCTACTTTGACTATTGTGATGTAAAATGAGAACAAATTCCCCATGACAAACCCAATACTTCCTCCTCCGGCATTTTGCCAGAACTCTGGTCCCTAAATAACAGGCACTGCTTAAATTACCTCTCCTTTAATTTCTCCATTTCCCCTGTGGTTCAATTTTGATGATTTCTTCTCTGTATATTTTCTCCCTCAACAGTATCGACGTATCCTCAGAAGCTGCTGTTCAAATTTTCTCTGACCTAGTTAACTTCAAATAGCTTTCAAATAGCTGTGTGTTCTAGGCACACAGCTATTTTCACAGTTGGTTCCCACATAACCACCCCAAACCACTCTACTTCCGCTGCATTTGTCATATCCTCTAAAGAGGTACTGCTAATCTGGAAACTTTGCCCTGAAATTCAGGTAATAGAATCAGAATTGCTTGCATTATGGGAAGCATTATGTTGGTCACAAACCAACCCCTTCCACTCTGAGAATATTGTCATTTTCACTGATTCACAATCATCAATTTGCTTGATTAGAGATAGGCAACCTAACTTCTACCTTAGTTTAATTTTTGATACACAAAATACAATCATGTCACTAATGCCCCCCATGAGGTGCGAATTCATTATGTTTCTGGTCACCGAGAAATTTCGGGCAGCAAGACTGCTGATCGGGCAGCCAGGGATGCTCACCAGATTGTTACCGTACTCTCACCCCCAGCTCAAGGAAAAAAATGTCAAGATTAGTGCGTGACGGAATTCTGGCTAATTGGAACCAGTCATGGACGGAGGAGGTAAATGCATCATGGAAGGGTCCCTTCATAACTTTAATTAGAGACGGGGTAGGTAACTGGCCTTAGGCCTCTCATAGCAACCGAGCCATTGAAACAGTCTTGACTAGGCTTCGTATTGTTACTGTACATGCTGCTGCGAGAGCTCATTTGGCTCTTTTTGAGCTTGTAAATAGTCCTCTGTGCTCTTGTGGCTCCTCAGAGATCATCCAACACTTACTGATACAGTGCCGTCTGCACCAGCATGCTCGAGCTAATTTAACCAACCTGCTAACCCGTCTAAATATTCCTGTGACCCTTAAGAATATACTTGGAGGTGGCCCCTACCTCTGCTTGACCCAGAATCTAATAATGGATGCAGTTGGTGCATTCTTGATTGCCTTTTGTGTTTTGCATGCCTTATGAATTATTATTCCTATTATAATAATCCTTTATCCCCAGATCTCAGAAGTAGGACTAATCATACTAATAAATGTGGGAAACTAACACTGTCAGAATATTCACTTTATCCCAGTATTATTTTAGGTGCTTACTTTGAGACAAGCAGTACCAATCTATGTAGCTTGTTAGGACCAGTATAATGATAATCAGGACCAGTATATTTTTAAGATCAGTATCTGTTTTCAATTTCATGTACCAAGACTGCCATTGCAAGGACTGTTACTGCTTGCCTGTAAATCAGTTTTCAATTCTTGCTCCTTCAGAGAAAGCCCACAGGAGCTATGTTTTCTTTTCTGTACACCGCACAGCGTTTTCTTAACAGTCACAACTAGCTTTACCAACTTGGTCTTAAGAAGCTCTCCCCCCCGGCTGCCCTTCAGTATAATTTGTGCATACTCATGTGAGGCTCAGTTCAGGGCATGGATATTGCAACTATATTAAGAGCACTGGTCATCATCAGCACAACAAACTTAAATATTCTACCTGATATTCAGAATTATTGTGATCATTCACGAGGTATTAAATGCCATTCATGCCTTCGAAATTAATTCAGGGTTTGAATGTCTCAGTTGTGCGCATCTTCCATAGAAGAATGAGCGAGATGTATTTTGCATAAAATGAAGCCGAAATGACATTAACCAATTATAATCCATTCCAAGATTTCCTATTATTCCGAGATCTCCATTAATTCCATGAATTTCATTTCCTATTATTCTGAAGAGGACAAAAGATCACAAGTTGCAGTGCAAGCATTTTATATAGTGAATAACCCATTAATTTATTCGATCTTCACTGGAAAAAAGCACTATAGTCAGCACTGAAAAAGCACTTACCTTCAACACCCACGATAGAGTTATTACGGTGACTGTCGTCGCATAGCATTCCCGCTACTTTATATATGCCCACTTTATAATGGTTCCAGAAAGTATATATAAATGTGTCGTTCAATGTTCCATGTCCATTTCACCTGCCAAATTTGAGGCGAGTGCTCGAAGTTATGCTCTGTTATCAATGGTATAATCCAATAACACAGCGCGATCAATAACACAGCGCGATCAATAACAAAGCGCGATCAATAACACAGCGCGATCTGCCTGGAATAAAATATTGAAAACAATAAAATATGAATAAGATTTATCGCCCACAGCAATTTTAGAGTAAATTGAAGCGTTGACGTCAAGGCATACATATGACTTTCGTGACTCAAAATGAGAAACTATTTTAAAGTGAATATTGATAGTTCAATGAAAATTCAATCATAATTTTTTTACCTGAGTCTACGGAAAATATCTATCGTTGAATGCTTGCTGTCTGTACTTTTTTTCCGTTTGAGATTTGCGGGAGCCTCTGGAGACCAGTAGAATGCGGCCAGTCCAGGGTTGTGAGTTATAGTTGCCACAGTATTGTTTCAATTAGCACTTTATGGGCTTCACAGTTTCTCTTAATCAGTACACCCCCTTGCCTAAACAGGGTTTGATTGGTGCCTAACAGTCATTCAAGAATCTGAAAATCTGCAACAAACACACTCACACACACAAAAATAGAAAGAATAATAATTATAAAAATAAAAAAAATAATAATTGAATAAAATATACATATATGTATGTAATGAAACGAAAAGGACAAGAAGAAAACACAAAGAGAGGCATCGTATGAAGTGAAAGATTCCCAGCCCAGTTATATTTAAGCGAGAAAGTCCTAACTGTAGCAAATACGTAAAACTCCGCTGAAAGACTGAGCTGTATAACAGTAAATTACTGTTTTGAATACAATATTCAGTTGAAGAAAGGCATTATTAATAAAATGGTGCAATGTTTGCAGCATTGAGAGGGATTTGTGTGATGCCGAAAGGCTTATACGTCATGCGTTTAGTCGTCCTAGCTGGACTACTTAGACTAGACTTATTTAAATTCGAAAGGTAACTTCTAGAATAGTACACAAATTCCAGACGTACGAGATTATGGATAGGTATATTTATGAGCTGATAATATAGTCGCGGCAACTGTTGGAAGCAAAACCTTTATTATGACCAGCAGAAAATTTGTTTTGAGTCAAACAGGTGGAGAAAAAAACATTTTGAATATATAACGGAACAGCGGAGAAGTTAAT